AATTATTAATCACACTGTTCAATTAAATTCACTAAATCACTGATTTTACTAATCAATTAAATTACACGACTCTTGATCTTTTAAACTAATCAGTAATCACACTATTTGCACTAAACACTCTAATCACACTAATCAATTAAAAGAATAAATCAATTAAACCATTGATGAAATATTTTATAGAAATTGATTATCTAATCATTGATATAGGTGATGAGGTAGAAAAGTTGTAAGTTTTGAGGTAATGAATTAATCAGTGTTTGATTAAAGTAATGAGGTAGTATTGAGAGTCTGCAAGGAAAGGGTTAATTGTTTTACTAGCAGCTGTGATTTACTGGGTGAGAGGAATTTATTGCTGTGATTGCTGCTGCTATTACTCTGTAAGCAATAGGCTGTAACAAGATGTTCAAAGCACACTGGATTTTTGAAAGAGAGCAAAACTCTCTGAATTAAAACACTTTAACTACAATCAATATGTCTCTGAATAAGATTGTTTTCCAATAGTTTCCTAAAGTTCTTCAAGTTGAGTAGTAGTAAAAATACAGTCCAGAAATTTGGGTTAACCAATCCAATCTGTCCTTTACTTTTAAAGTTACTTCTAGTTGCAATATCTTTTTTTTTTTTAACTAAATCTAACAGTAACTCCAGATCATTAATCGCAGCTATTTTCCTCCTTTGAGTCCCACTTTCCAAGGAAAATTCCACTGCAGAAATTGGAGTGATTCTTACCAAGACTAAGCACACTGTTACAAGATCTTTCCTTTCTTTTTCACTTCTGTCTCAGCTGCCTTCCTGGCTTCGATTTAGCCATGCTGGCAGTTCTCTTTTTAGTTCGGATGGAGGGGTTTTCTTCGGGTCAGTCGAGGAGACTCTCCTCTCCTCACGACAACTGACCACCGAAGCATTCCTCTGCCTTTACCACCCGTCCAGGGTGACTTTCGGCTCCTAAGAGCCTCAGGGCTTTCTCGTCCCTCCTTGTTTCTCCCTGCCAGCTGTCCGATGTGGCTCCGGGGAAACTGTGTGGGGATATTAATGGAAACACGTTGTCTGGCGTGGAAGATACTTCTATCAGCTGTGTGAGGGTTTTAAATGAAGGTACATTGTTTGCACTCCGCTGGCTCCAAGTGATCCAGTTCAAGAGCTCCACCAGTGTGGTTAATAGGGCTCGATGGAAAGAGCTTCACTTCTCCGGATCAGTTAGCAGGAGCTCCGTTAGCATTATTAGGGCTCCATGGCTTCAGAATCTAGTGTTTTGGGGGTTGTTTTTTGGGCTCTGGTTTACTCACGGTAACTGGTCCAGGTGGCAGCTTTAAAAGTGAGTTCTGGTGCAGGTGGTGGCTTTATAGGGAGATAGTGCTCCAGGAGCGAGAGCCTCACCTTCCTAGTTGGGCGCCGCCATTCATCCTTCTTGACCTCTCAGCAGCTTTTAATACCATCAACCATAGTACTGGAGGTTGTCTTGGACTCATATCTTCCATTCAATGAGCAAATGGAAGCTATGGCCAGGAAATCCTTGCACAAGTACATGTAGTGCAAAAATTCTTAAACTGGGACAATCGGCTCAACATCACTTAGGCTACAATTACTTCTCAAGTAACTTGGATTATTGCATGAGGCTGCCCTTAAAAACAATCTGGAAGATGCAGCTGCTCTAGAATCTAACAGTGCAAGTGCATCTTAATGCATCATTGTAGTGGATCTCCTTTGCAAGCTGCCTTGTTTCCCAATAGTCTTCCAAGTGCAATTCAAAGTATTGGGTCATGATCTTCAAAGCCCTTAATGGCATGCATCCCAAACATTCCAACAGATGTGTGCTCAGCTCCCTGACTTTAAAATGGGTGTTGGCAACCCACAGCTCCAGATTCGCATGCAGCTCTTTCGTCCCTCTGATGTAGCTCCCTGTCGGGTGATCCCACCACTGGCTGGCCCCATCCCTTGCCCTCGCCTCCCAGTCACTCCACACCTGAGAAGGTATAAGGGCGGGAGATGGAGATTCCATATTCCACGGTAGGAGTGAAGCACCCCTGTACTTGATAGGTCTTGTAGGCGCTTCTTCTGGCGGCTCGCTCTCGCCTCCTGGATGTCAGTTGCTCTGATGCACTGTCCCCCAGCCAATTATCGGTACACTGCTAGCCTGCCATCCACAGTGGGCTCTGAAGTGGCAGCGGCAGCAGCAGTGCCAGAGCGACCTGCGTGTCCAGATTCAAGACATGCACATTTCTCCCAGCCTCCTCCTGTGGTGGGGAAGGTGACAGGCCTGTGGCCAAAAAGTGCTGGGATTGCACCTTGGATGGAAGGGGGAGACTCCCCAGTTGCCAGCATGCTCCTTGGTTGCCCTGCACCTGATCTGCTTCAGAGATGCTGCAGCTCCTGTCACTCCATTCGTGCATTGGCTCATCCTGGAAACTGAGTACTGGATGAGTGTAAGGATCTGTCTCTATCTGTGGCTAGCCTACCGGACCTTGCCAGACACACAAGAATTATTCATGTGCCCGATTTATCCCAGATAAGTGGCTTTGCATCTGCATGGGCAAGTTACATTATTCTGTTCTTGTGCAAACACACACAAACACACAGATTCAAAGGGGAAGAGCTGTCTTTTATACCCAAACACGTATTCTTGCAGCTACCTGCTCTTGCACATGGATGCAGAATGGCTGGGATGGGGGCTGCTTTACAAACATGCACTCGCTTGTGGGGTTGAGGTTTTTTTTAGGATTCTTAGAGCAGATCTTTCACATCTGCTCTCTCTCCAGACGTCAAATTCCCACCACCAAGCACCAGTTCATGGGTTCCTTACCTCTCCGAGGGCGGGGGGGAGAGAGAGAGAACACACACAGAGAGAGAAAAGAGACAGAAAGAAAAGAGACAGAAAGAAAAGAGACACAAAGGAAGAGAGAGGGGGGAGAGAAAGAGAAAGAGAGAAGAGACAGAGAGAAATAGAGAGGAGACAGAACGAAAGAGAGAGAAGAGACAGAGAAAGAGAAGAGACACAGAGAGAAAGAGGGAGAGAAAGGAGACAGAGAGGAGAGAGAGAGAGTTGTTTTCCACAGAAAACAAAACACCAGGAGCCACAAAATCTGTGTAAGTGTGGTTGGGGGGGGTCACGTGACTGGGTGGGAGTGATTTTGAGTTGGCCACACCCGCCCAGGTTTTGTGTCTCCCAGTGCTTTCTGTGGGAAATGGGTCCAAATGGCTTCTTGAGTGTTTAAGGTTGCAGACCCCTGTCTTAAAACAATGCCTTCTGGCAGAACCAGAATTCCTTTTCATTTGTGGTGCCTGCTCGATGGAATGATCTCCCCTTTAATATTTGAACTGGCCTCAATCATGTTGGTTTTAAGAAGGCCTTGAAGACCTAGATGTTCTTTCAGACTTTGGGACCAAAATGTTAGATGGCTTTATTCTGAGAGGTTGAATATATGCAGGGGTGGGATGCTACCAGTTTGCACCTATTCGCTAGAACCGGTTGTTAACATTCTAAGCAGTTTGGAGAACCGGTTGTTAGAAGAAATTACTGGCCTAATCCTGTAGGGAAGGCAGGAAGGAAACATTCTGGTGTTGCTTACAGAAACTGCCTCTTCATTAACCCTTATTACATTCTTGGCAGGACTAGACTTCCTGTCCCAGGAACGTCTCTGGAGTTTTTTTCCCCCCTCCTTTGCTGGTACTTTGCTTGTGTGGAGTGACCATTCAAAGTTACAATGGCACTGAAAAAAGTGACTTATGACCATTTTTCACACTTAGACTGTTGCAGCATCCCCACAGTCATGAGAGGCCAGGAGAGGAGATGGGTGCCTCAATGTGAGTGAAATTGAGTTGGCCACACCCAGCCAATAACATGACCACCAAGCCATATCCGCCCGTCACATGATCACCAAACCACGCCCACCACCTAAGCCACACCCACAGAACCGGTTGTTAAAAATTTTGAATCCCACCCCTGAATATATGTCCAATTGTATTTTCATTTTTAGATTTGTGATATTTTCTACTTTGTGATTGGTTTTATGGCTGTATATTGTCCAAAGTTTCATACAATATTTAATCATGTAATCTTAAATTAAAAATAACGTAAATAATAACTGAGGTTTAGAGATTATTTTTAAATGCATCCATGGTTTTCTGGTATGCATAGATACTTGAATTTCTTTCCCATTTCTTCATTTTCATCAGTCATGTCATCCTCCAGTTCAGGGGTCCCCAACCACCGGTCCGTGGACCGGTACCGGACCGCGGAACAAGTCCTACCGGGCCGCTGGCTTGCTGGGCGCCGCCATCATTTTTTGATGAAAAAGTGCTTCCGGTGAGCTTTTCCGGGTAGAAAGCTCACCGGAAGCACGTTTTCATCAAAAAAAGATGGCGGCGCCAGCGCTTCCGGTGAGCTTTTCCGGGTAGAAAGCTCACCGGAAGCACTTTTTCATCAAAGAAAGATGGCGGCGCCCAGCTGATGCCGGTACCGGGCCGCGGCGCCCAGCTGATGCCGGTACCAGGCCGCAGCGTAAAAAAGGTTGGGGATCACTGCTCCAGTTCACAGGTATCATTTGGGAATAGTGTCTTGGGTACTGTTGGAAACTTTAACTTTTCTACTTCTGAAAAGATTCACTTAAGTTGCTGCTTTCCAGAAGTGAGAGACGAGAAAGTAATAGCAATGTAAATTTGCACACATGTTCCTTAATAGGAAGAAAAAAATAAGTTAGCAACTGGACCTTCCAGAAGTGTCTGTAGTGACATTAATTAGCTTCAAAGTGTGTGCAATTTTGTGACTGAGGCCACACCCTTTTTATGTGCACTGCATGCATATAAAGAGGGCTAGGGTTTCAGTTATTTGGCCACACTCACTATTTTGAAGCCATGACTGCTGCTATATACATCTCTGCTTCAGAGCACAAAAATAGTAGTTTTCACAGTATTTATTTTAATATTTAATGAGATTTTGCATCCATAGTAGCATTTGTAGTGTAGGATCTGTGAAAATGATGTTCAAAACATCAGTTCTTTTCTAGGTCTATGTCACCTGGTTTCATAACTACCTCGCTGTCAAGACAAAAACAAAAGGCAGCCCAGAGAATGTCACAACGCCGCTCTTATCAAGCTAGGCAGAAGATTGCAAAAATGAAGAAAGTTTATAAAGCTGCGAAAGAAGAGGTAAGCAAGGATAAAGCACATGAAATATTTGGTATTTAGAATAGTACTGCAAGATCATTAGAAGTCTATCAATATGTTTTAAAGGGATTTAATCAAGTTTGTTAATCAGGTTTTTGAAAACTACTTTTAGTAGAGTGTTCAAATGGTAGGATATAGTTTAATTGTACTGTATACGGATGGCATACTTGTATATGGTATGAAATAACACCTGGGAAAAAAAGAATAAAACAGGTGCCGTGACTAATTTTTTCTGTTATTCAAACTGATAAAAATATTTGAAAGGGGGTGTGCTTTGCTGGCCAATGAATTTTATGATTACATAATTTGAATCAAATTATGAATCACATTATTAGAAAATGGTTTCCACCTTCCAAAACCATAGTGGTCTAGAGAAGTACATAATTTGGCCAGGGATTTGCCATAGCTCATTTTACCTCAAAAGTTTAAAAATGAACCTTTCCATCTCTTGTCATCTTTACTTGAAAAGAACTTACTATGACTTCAGTGGGATTTATTACCTAGTGATAAGACTTTTATATAGACCTGATCGAAGCTCATTTTAATTGTTTTAGTAACATCAACATCTTCATACATTATATTCTTTCTTTGAAGATTTAACTTCATCTGTTATAACTTTATATTATAGTTTTCCAATGTTGTGTAGTTTCTTTTGTCCTGACATGTAGGATATAAATGAAAGGGATATATAGGATAATGAGACTGGGGTATAACATAAATGAATTAATATCCTAAAAAGTATTCAGGATAGTCTCCAAGAACCAGGTATAGACTTTGCTATAGATAGGCAAGGAGGTCCCAATATGTGGGATTAGTTGGGTACATCTAGCATTTTGAAAGCTCACCAGCTATTTCAAGAGAAAGTAACAAGGCATAAAGGAAATGTTTGTGCTGTATTCTTTCCTCTCTAGTCTTTACCTAGGGTACTCCCCAATTCAAAAGTTCTTTTCCTCAAAAAGTAACCAGAATTTCAAACAAAATTGTTTCAGCTGGGGCAACATGTTATTTTTTTTTCTAAGAAGGTTTATGGGACCCATTTGATCCAAAGACATTTTGGAAGCAATAACAATGTAGGACATTAACAATGTACTATGTAGCATTTATTTTTATGTTATAAATTAAAATGATTTTAAATAGAATTTCCCAGATTCCAAGTGAAGTGTATCCCAAGATATATCACAAGTATGGAGAACATTATGTACTTTGTAATAGCTATCTGCATTACAAATAACTGGAATATAGTTTAAGCTGACACAAATTTTTTAAAAAATATCCAGGAAATTATAGGGATGACATACTATCTTTCAATTTTCAAAATGTCTTTGAGAACATCTTTTGAAGGTACCCAAGGACAATTAGTAATCAAGAGATAAGAGAAGCTGTCTGTGGGAAAATTTGGGCAGTGGTTCAGAACATTGCTCACAGCTCCATTTTAAGCCAACTATTGCCTATCTTTTCCTTCTGATCATGGGAACCATATAAAACTCACCCTCTAGCATAATGGCTATAACACAAGGGGCAAGCAAACGTATGTGCACAAACACATACAACCTGTTCTGTTACATAAATATGCTTATATGATCACCGCTGGCTAAAGGAGTTAGAAGGCCATACAGTACTGTGCCTGTTTACTATTTCTAGTTGTTTTAATTTACTAAAAAACCCACACCAATCTAATACTTTGTTTGGATTAGATAAAGAATCTAATTCCAGAGCTGCAGTGGGCATATGAATTTTATGTCCAAGAATACTGTTTGTCCAAAGATAGATTGCTCAAAGAATGCTTAATTCTGAGAAGAAATGTGCTTAGTTTTGGTTGAAATATTGAAAAACTACAACTACATTCTAAATCTCAAGACAGCTGCATTTGTATTAAAAATCTCTGCAAAACAAGAATTTAGTTTAAAACGTATACCATTAGATTTCACTTTCAAATTATGTTTGCTGTTTTATATTTTGTGTTTAGGACTTAAGCAGTCCTTCTTTGAGTGATCATTCAGCTGGAGATCCAGGGCCAGAAAATCAATTTTGTAATGAAGATTGGGAGCAAGAAGCAGTAACGCTTTATGATTGGGCAAGATCACTCCGAACTGAAGATATTTGAGAAGATTAATCAGAGATAATTTTTTGTTCAAGTGTTCATTTCTATCATATGGTTGCAGCAACAGTTGAAATTGTTTTTCCCCATATAGTTTTTCTGCTCTTTTTGCAGACATAACCATGGCAGATTACACACAATTCTCTGGCTTCAGGAAATTCCTAACAAAACAAGTTACTGTTGATAGAAAGATGTGATATTATGTGAGAAGAATAAAGTGATATAGCCAATGTGCATCTGTTACAAGTAATAACTTGAGGCATCTAGGTGGAAAATAATAGGAAAGTTGATAAATACTAAAGGTAACTAAAGAGATGCTTCCCAGTATGCATTAATAAAAAGGAAACACCTAAAACCATCACGTTTCAGAAGATTTACACAACTGCTTCAGAAGTAGTTTCTAGTTCTTTCTGTACATCTGCGCAACTACCCTTCCATTCAGTCTACCAGGAAAACATTGATTTTTCATGCTTATCCATTTACTTATTTATCAAATTTGTATGGCCGCACATCACACCAAAGGCAAGGTTGACAATATACAACACTAGATAAACTTATGTGAGACATCTGTGGACTGCTTTCAAAACAGCCACATCAGCCTTGCAAAGGTTGCCACTAGTTTTATGTTTTGAAGAAAGGCAATTCCTTCAATTAATAAAAAATTAGCAAAATAAAGTAAATTGGCTGTTACATATTTTTTAAAACAATTCTTCTAAATGCTTTACATAGCCATAGTAGTTTCAGCTTATCAATAGGCAAGGCTAAGCACTTTTAAATATTGCTTTCAAAGAAAAAAGTACAGCTTCATTACTTTTCCAATCAAAGTTATTAAGGCTCTAAAGCCTGTCAAACTTGCGGCCATTGGGCCAGATGCATCACACACTGGCCATGCCCACGCCTGGTTTAGTGAAGGAGAAAAGTTACAATACATCATATGACAATGCGAATTTGACACCCTTGCTCTAAAGTATTCAAATTTCATTACATTGTTAAAATTTACAATTGGTCCAAACTGTTCTATTTGCATTTCAGATCAGCTGAGAACTTTCACAAGTAAGCTGTCATCATTCCGACCAATGAACTCAGGAAAGTCAGGACTCTGACACTTGGGTTAGGTTCAGAAAGTCCTTTATTGAGTACATCCTGTTGGCAATTAGAAAGGTGAAGCCAGCTCTAAATAGTCCCTGCGCTTAGGGATAGTTAAAATAATAGGATTCTCCCCTCCCCTCTGTCTTTTAGGTCACATGGGCCAATCAGATCAGCCACAGGTTCCCGCTCAACCAAAAAATGAAAAAGCATGAGAAAGAATGGCTTCAGCTGAAGTCATTTTGCAGGTTGACATAAGCCAATATATATGATTTTAAGAATGTGAGGAGACTTAATTGAAAAGGAACAAAAATAATATAGAAAATCTATAGTGAAAATTAAAAATATTTTATTTACATTCTTATTTATATACAATTTTTACACCTCGCTTAAAAACAGAACAGAATATATATGCATGTCTGAACATAATGCATTCACAGGATGAGTTGGATTAACATTTACAAAAAAGTAGAAAGAAAAATGTTTTTAAGACTATTAAAAGATTGCAGTTTCACAACTGCTTCAGGTAAATTATTAGAACTGCACAGTGCATATTTGAATAAGTATTCCAATTTATTGTAGCACAATTCAAAGGTAACTCTAACATGCAAACATTTTGTGTTGAAAAGCAGCATTGGATTATGCACAAATAACCATCCTGCAACAGCAACTTCTCCAACTATTGTTACTAATATATTCTCAAAATTTGACATAGTATTTGAAACTATTGATAAAACTTATAAAATGTAATCCTAATTAAGATTTATTAATTTAATTCAGAATAACCGGTCCTGATTTTCATTCAAATGTCTGTCTCTGTCCCTTTCCCCCCCCAAAACTGAATAAATCTTGTAATGCTACAATACCATAAAAATGAGAGAAAACAATTTTCTGGTTATGGAACTTTAAGCAAGTTTTGTTTTCAGGTATTGGCCCTTATTTCCTTTTCTTGTTTATATTGATAATAACAGAGGCATTCTTGAATTATGTATAAATATTCTTGCTTTAGAAATTGAATTTTATTCTTTAATTCCATTTCTTTAGAATATCAGTAGTTTATGTGATAAGGAAATTCAGAATTATCATTCAGCCACTTTATCATATCAATAAAAAATGAGCAGTGATGAACTCTATGAGGTTAGCCTAGTGGTTGTTATGGTTTTACATGTGATCATCTTTTTTTTTGTACTAACTTAGTGTAAGAAATGGATCTACAAATCATGTTTTAAGTTTTTATTTGGGGTCTGATTTTTATATGGTATCCTTCTCTTAGTTGTACTACTTTTCTCCACTAAAATAGTATTCACAAGTAAGTTATATCAACATGGACATGTCATAAAATAAAATGCAAGAATAGGCTTTCTAGAGTAATCTGTTTAAAAAAAATAATCTATAAAGCACATGTAAACATTCATTAATGCAAGACACTAAAGTTTTTGGATAGCCATTTCTTCTTAAGAATAAACAGTCTTTTTGTCTTCTTCTAACACCACCAAGTGGTTTTTTTTTATACAGACTCCCAAGTGAAATGAACAGGTCTAGTGCACTATGCCTAAATCCTGTAAAAATGTTCATGTTTTCTTTCTCTTCCATTTTGGCACTAAAGTTGGCATTTTAATTATCAATGAGATGAAACTGGTTTAAACCAAATAGTGAGCTTTTAGGAAAGCATGGAATCAATAATTTGGGAACTGCCCCAAAGTTCAGTAAAAGTTGAGTAGCTATATTTTAAATACATTTAAATAAAGAAATTATACTTGTGACAGACATGGATGGAGAAATACCAAAGAACTACAATTCTTAATACTGAAAGGATGAATAATTTGCTGTACTTGCTACATTCTTACATTCTTTTCTTTGTAACCTTAAGTTACCTTTATATGCATAGGAATTTCAAGAAAGTACCATTAAGAAGAGTATCATAACCACAGGAAGATACATAATAGGTGAGAAATCATCTGACATTTATAAGCTGAAAAATATCGGCCTTTTAATCAAAGAAACAAAATCAACATTCACATTTAGATAGATAAGTTGTATTTTTGTGCAACAGTAGGATTGAAAAACTTGACATCCTAAGTAGGCTAACTTTAAGTATCGGTTCAGTAACTTATTTGAGCTAACTTTCCATTAAGTATGCAAACAACCAGGCTTTTGTATTACAATGGATGAGAAATTAAATAAAAAGCACAAGCGCCATAGACCCACTACATTACATTTGTTGTGCCTTTTCAGATAGCTTACTATAATTGAGAAAGCAATTCATAACATATCTATTAATATATTTCATAATTTTACTATTGTCTCAGTGGTAAATTATTTTTTAAAACTCTTCTATATGATATCCAGGCTGATTCAGATATTGATCAGGCCATATAGCATATAAACTTGGCTATGGAGGATTCTGTTTTAAAAGCATTCCTAGAGTAAAAATGCCTTTAATTTATCAACTCTGCATGGATAGACACATGTTGGTACATTTTATTTAAAAAATTATATATAAGCAGTGAAAACCTTGGCCTTAGAAGCCCTTTGAGATATAGCTGCAAAAAGACTGCCAAATTCTCCTAAAGGTGCTTTTTTTCAAGAGGCAACTAGGCAAGTCTTGGAAAAAAAGCATCTTTGGGAAAACCTGGATGACTGAGAATCTCCATAGACAGGATTATCAACTTAACTTTAAAAGAGTTTAGAGCTATCACTATTCAAATATTACTTAAAAGCCAGGCAGATAAGCCATTGCTGAAATTTAACCTAATGATTTCCCCCAAGTTAGATGTAAACAAAAACTCTCATTCTCTTACAGACATAAGTCTTTGATCTTATAACAACCATAGTGAAGCAACAACAGTTAAGTGTCTAAGCTTCTCTGCTATTCATACATGTAATAATTAACATTATACAGAAGTGGCTCTTTAACATACTTGGAATAAAATTCCCTTCCATTTTTATCTGATCTTATCCTGCTATCACAAACACTTATAGAATTAGTTAATTTTAGTCTAATGAATAGACTAAATAAAAGCAAAAATTCAAGAAGTTATTGAAAAACTCTATACTTATTTTGAGAGATTTAGATTATGTTCCTCTAGCAACGTAAGTTCTTAAAACGGGATGTAAGAAGTTATACATCACATTCTGAAACATGCTATGGATTAAACTCATTTACAATTTCCCCCTCTTTATATACTATATTCTATATACTAATATAAAAATGAATAGGTCCGTAGCAAAATAGGAGAAATAATGGATGAATGCGTATATATAGACATTAGTATGCTGCTTTTATTTTATAAATAAAAGATCAGCATTATTTTATTCATTCAGGAACTACTGGCGGTATATACCAACTGATATGCCTTCAAAACTGAATCCAAGCAGGGTTGTTTTGTCTTAAAACAGAATAAAATATATTTCTGTGCTACATTTTCCCTAGCACATAAATTCTGTTATTATGTTGTCAGTTACAGAATTAAAATGTGGTTACATCTTAGTAAGTTTAGTAGCTGTCCAATGTCTACATTAAAAGAAGTAAACAATAAGTTACACAAACAAGAGGATCATTTTTGGTTTAACATGCATTTGCATTTGTGCTAGTAAGATATTTTCAGAAACATATGCAACTTATGAACATTCAAATTTGTCTGTGTGCAAGAAACTAATGAGAAAATTTGGCCTATCATTTTTAATAACATGACTTCAGTAAATATAGCACATTATAGGGGTAATTTATACTCTTGATCTTTGAGATAATCACAAAGTAATATTGCCCCATGAATTTATCTTTCAGAGAGAAAAGCTTGGAAAGAACACAATTATACAATATAATGACATTATATATCATTTGCTTCAGTCAAGTATGTTGTTGTTTACCACAACAAAATTGGGAATTTATTACATGCATAATGTTAAACTCCAAGAATGTAGCATATTGCTATATAGAGGTTCCCAAAATGCTAAAATAAAATTGTGCAGCTTATATCTTTCTTTTACATGAGCTCTGAATCTCATGAAACCGTTTCAGCAGTCTGCCTAGAGTTAGCAAGTTTCAAATTGTCAGGTATTTTTCACATTTCCAAATTACTTTAAAGAGATAATGAAAGTTCAATGTCAATCCAAAGTTTTATTCAAATTGAAGGAGATCACTCATTTTCAGACATGTGTCCACATATTTAGAGAGTGCTTTTAACAAAATTTTATTGTCCAGAGGTGGGAACTTCAAATTTTGCCAACTACAACTGGCCTTGTGGAGTGAGGTTGTTCAACAAAATTTCAAGGGATACAGGATCCCTCTACTGGCCAGCCACCCTATTTAGAAATAGTGAAGCCAGTAATAGTTTCAAGTTTGCTGAAATAATGCTGAGTCAGTAAAATCTCTGTTTTTAAGTACAACAGCTTAATCAGTGGAAGGAAATGGTTTTGTCAATAGCTGATAATACCTGGAGAAAATTATCTGCTCATAGAGAGCAGACTTTTATGCTTATTATACACATTTCTGTTCAGTATTTTGGGGCAAAGCACTAAGAAGATAAAACTTGGATTTTTTTTAAAAAAAATGCACACACTTCTTCCTTATTTGCATTAAAAGGAGTTCAAATATTACTCCATCAGTCAACATATACATTGAGAATGAACCTTTAAATTATCCAATGAATGTATATATGAAAAGATACCACCACAGCTAAAATTCTACAGATATGGCTGATATCTGTGCACTATTAAAAATAGATTTTTAGCTGCACATAAAAATATGCATTTTATCTTGACCATACTTTATACATAAAATTTATTCACAAACAATTAAAACAAAGGCAGTCTAGGATTTTCATTAAAAAACTTAAATTACTTTTAGAAACTTATTTTTCAGCAAGACTAACTGGAACTATTGCATAAAATTAAGGAAAATCATATAAAAATAGAAAACTATTTTAAATTGTGACCAATATCAAAAGATAATGTGTCAAATTTGTTCAGGGGGCATAAAAGTAAAAAAGTATTGAAAAAACAAATAATGTACTTAAAACAAAAGGCCCATTGCACTGCTATATTAGAAGAGAATCTGTTCTAGTAAGGGTGCCCAAATTTTCACCTGTTTAAAAAATTAAAATCCACAATACATTTGCTTTTAAACTATTTTTCAAAAACTGTATTTTCCAGTACTTTCCGAACCACAAAGTTTTCTTTAAAGACATGTGTTCATGTGTATCTATTATGGTTTTACAACAAATAAAATGGAAGAACATCTTTTATTTTTTCTTCTCTCAAACCATATATGTAAAAAAAAAAAAAAATCATTATGAAACTGCAGTCATTCCTAATAAACTTCGTAAATACATTCCTGTATACTTTTTCTTTATTAAGATATTACACAGGTCAATCACATTTAATTTGCTTTATTTCCCTCTACTTATTCTGCTTTTCTCATGAGTACTTTCTTCTTGAGTCTTTTAACTACAACGTCTAACATGTTCTAGCACATATTCGGGAAAATGTAGGCTACAAACTTGTAAACCATCAAGTTTGCAGGGCATTCTTGGATATTCATCTTCTTTCCATTTATTATCTTCAGGATCAAAAGTAAGAATTGAATCACTGTAGTGACCATTATAACAAAGGCCTCCAAGAACCATTATCTGCTTGTCCAGAACAGCCACACCATGGCCGCTTCTACCAATTGGCATAGAAGCCAAAATTGTCCATTGATCAGTATCTGGATCGTAAACCTCTGTAGAAGGGCAGCCTTGAGATTCAAACGAGGCTCTCAGGATTACACAGACACCTCCAAAAACATAAAGCTTGCCATTATAGGAAAGCATTTTGTGAAAACATCTTGCATAATTCATTTTGCATTTGTTTTCCCAACAATTAGTCACCACTTGAGTCCTCCTTGTTCGCTGCTCCACAGTTCCTTCTTTACTGGGATCAAATACACACACCTGCTTGGATGTAGAAGATGACGTTATTCCACCAGTGATGTACAATTTGCTGCCAAGAACAGTTCCTTCATGTCCGTATTTATTGACCGGATAAGGATCTACAAACTCCCACTTGTCTTCTGTAATATCATATCGTTCGGTTGAATAAAACGTTTCATCTCTTGTTCTTCCAGCTACTGCATAGATGTATCTTCCAATAACACCAACAGCAAATTCTGACCGTGGCACAGACATATCTGCCATTCGCAACCAAGAGTTTTGCCTTGGATCATATCGGAACACCTTGGAGGAAGCATGAAATTCACCATCTGGCCCCAACTCTTCCCCACCCAATAAGAACACAAAATTATTAACAATAGCAAGGCAATCTGGTCTCAAAGGTACTTGTGGGCCTTCTAACTCCCACCAGACCCTTGGCTTGTGCAGGAGGAGGATTTTGCTATTTACCATGCTGTGTCCTATCATTCCTCTAAATACTGCAGTCTGGGGTTTGGCAGAACGAATACGATTTGATTTCATTTCCATCAAAGGCTGTTGATGCACACTATGGAAGTAATTCATAGCCTGCTCCACTTCATGCCGCAACTGCCTGGAATAACGATAAAATTCTGAAGTTTTCACCTAAGGATAGAGCAAAATACATATATTTATTTTCAAGGTGCATCTACCCTCTGAAACTAGGCAGATTCTAGGTATTCTAGATACTAGCTTACAGAACTTACCACATAACATGCAATTTAAGTCAATATAATTTAAATAGTAGTCCAATCTCAAAGTAATGCTAAAAATAATATTCAGTTTACCAAATATACGCTTGCTAGTTATAATTATACCCCAGGACTTAAGAACAGTCATATTTTTACTTGCTTCTAAAAGTCCATGAGTGTGAAGGCTATCCTTGTATCAGAGTATTTCAAAGTATTTCAAAGGACCACATATCTACAAATACCTCATGCTGGGATCCTTCCCACCATAACACTTGGCCCGTTTAGGAAAAGGGCATCATCTGTTAGGGAGAGGTGTCCAATGTAGGCTCCAAACTATCTATGACTTTTGTATGTAGCATGAAAAATTATAGAAAAATTGTTCAGAAATAAATTGGCTAATTTCCTGAATTAAGGGAAACCATGAAACAAATACTTCAAATACGATTTACTAGCTGAAATAAAAACCCAGAAGAGCTTTTAAATAATCTGATCAACCAGTGTCACTTCTATTGCTGCTCTTCAGAATTGCACAATTCAGGTGGTTATCGGTCATACTGAACTTTTTTCTCATTTTCAGTATGACAGAACCCAACACTGATTTGTTTAGGCATCTTTTAAAGTAACATTTTTAGATTGGCCTTCTTCATAATTAACTCCTACCATTTATATCTTTAATATACCAATACTTTCAATAAATAAGAAAATCCCCTTTTCCATATTTTTATATCTATTTCTCCCAGGCCATAAAAATTTGCAATAAAAGAAACTAATTAAAATATCTAGTCCTCTGAACATGCCTTTCAAATTCTAATTCAGAAGCTATCAGGCCCTAAACTAAAATACAAAAATTAACATATCAGCTAAATGCAAACTTGTATTTTACTAGTTCATTTATGCAGTTCGACATAACAACATAGCATCACCAATAATGAATTCCCTAATACTAATACTGAATTCCCCAAAGCTCTATTTTTATAGAATATTAATGTCTACTCTAACATTGAGGTAAGCTTAGTCCAATTACATATTAAATCAACATAACATGTGATTTACTGTTCCTTGTAGTTGTGGTTGTCACTTTTGTCATGTGATTATAGATGTCTTGCAATTACATTGCAGCATCCCATGGTTGCATGATAGCCATTTGTGACCTTCAGCCTCCATTAATAGGAAGCCAAATAACAATCACATAACTGTTCTGACCCAGCCTTCGTGAGCCACAGTAACTGTGGGATGCTGTGACTGCATGAAATTCACCTAACAACGGCAACTGGAACAACCACAACTGCTATTATAAATCAGCAGGGTCATATTATGTCACACTTTATGACCATGTCTTTAGTGAAAAGAATTGCCAGTCCCAATTACCATAGTTAAACAAGGACTACCTGTATTTTTAAATTTTTAAAATTAAATATTTCCCTATATATATAAAAATAGGGGAAAGTCTCCATTTACTAGCAATTGCATGAATGAGAATTATGCTCTCTCATTTTCAACCTACATGAATTGGTTTTTAATACAACACACCTTTCTTAGTGCAAGAGTGTGTCTCTATCTTGCATCTTATTTATCAACATATTGAGACCACCAACCTAGAAATGTATTTTAGTTGATAAGGTTTTTTTGTAAATTACATTAAATAAGAGATTTTGAAATTAACACCTACTTGATATTTATGACTACTTAATTTCAAAAAGTATTGTTAAGCTTAATTTTAATATTTATATTTCTAGACATCCATCTTTAAGACAGCCTCAAAAATAATGTGTTATAAGTTACACCCCTTTTGGTCTTCACCATGAAAATGATTATTTACCAATTAATGTACTTTATTTCATAAATTATTTATATGAAACTTTGAATCATGTGATTAGTGTACAGCATGGATCTTGAACAGTCTACTTGTTATATTCATAAAACATGAATTCTGAACACAGAAGCAAATGAAAAATCAATTTATGTAATAAGTCTTTAAAACAGTTTTGATTGGTCCACATCAAGTTCCTTTTCTTAACAGTACCCATTTCATAAAAAGGAAACATTTCCTTCTTCTATATTTTGCCAATGAAGGTTCTGGAACTTTTAATTTGTCATTATTTGTTTTAAGAATCCTTAATTGTCATTCTAGGTCTAAATGCTACCAGCTACTAGATTGAGCATTATTACCTTATTCCTCTTTTTTACCACCCCACTCAAAGCATGCATATGAAGATACCTTTTACTTAACAAATTCGGATAAAAGAGATGGTGCTAGAGCAAAGCATTTTGAAAATAAATGGACAGAGTTCCTGGACAAAAAGTTATTACAGGTAGTCCATGCATAATTATGGAAATTGGAATCCACAATTCTATTGTTAAGTAATGGAGTTCTTAAACAAAACTTCAGGTGTCCTTGACAGGGTTATCAACTCACTTCCACCACAGTCATTAAGCAAATTGCATGCTTTAACTGAGACATCATGTGGTTGAGACTTGCAATTTTACTGCCAAATTCTCTACTCCAGGGGTGTCAAACTCATGGCCCACGGGCTAGATGTATTACATGTTGGCCACGCCCACTTTCGTTTTAACAAAGGAGGGGAAGTTGCAATACATCATATTATGATAAAGTGACACCGCGAGTTTGATACCCCTGCTCTATTCTGTTTGTTAGACGCCAACTGTGAGGTGTATAG